GACTTAAGTAATAATGTTATTATTATTGTTATAATCATAATAATCATCATTACCATTATTGCCATCACCATTGTTACTATCATCATTGCTATGATTATTATAAATTGTTTAATAATAATTAATATAAAAACAATTAATTAATAGTATTAATTTATTATGAAATTATTGTTACCATGATTATTATTAATTATCTCTATCATTGTTGGTTCTTCATTCTTTCATCTATTATCTATTATAAAATAAATAAATAATTAATTTATTATGAAATTATTATTACCATAATTATTATCATCATCTTTTTCATTATTATTTGTTGTTAGTTCTTTCTGTTATCTATTATAAAATAAATAATTAATTATCATTTAGCTTTTTCTTTTTATTTTAACTTCCTCCCTATAATTCCTTCTTTTCCCTTTGATTCCCCTCACTTCACTACTTTCCCTATTCACTTAGTTTTTCCAATTCATCTTGCTTCACCCTTCTATTATTTTTCTCATTTTTTCTTAATTCCACTCACTTTTCACAAGTGTTCTCACAAATTAATGAAAGGTGAAGAGAAGAAGACAAGAGACAAGGTAAGTATAAGTTTTATTTATTTTTTAAAAAAAAGACAAAAAAAAAAGAAAAAAAAAAACTCTCTACCTTTTACCATATATCTGCAAAGCTAATTTTAACGATTTCGACCTCACAAGTATTTCCACGAACTAGTGAAAGGTGAGAAGAAAAAAGGTAAAGGAAGAAGAGGAAAGGTAAAGGCAAGAGACATAAGTTTTATTTATTTTTTTAAAAAAAAAAAAAGAAAAAAAAATTCACATTTAACCGTACATTTGCGAAACTGATTTCAACGATTTTGACCTTCACAAATATTCCCACGAACTAGTGAAAGGTGAGGAGAGGAAAGGTAAAGGGAGGAGAGGAAAAGTAAAGGCAAGAGACATAAGTTTTATTTATTTTTTTTAAAGAAAAAAAAAAAAAAAAACTCACCTTTAACCATATATTCGTGAAGCTAATTTTAACAATTTTGACTTTCACAAGTGTTTTCACGAACCAGCGAAAGGTAAGGAGAAGAAGGCAAGAAACAAGGTAAGTATAAGTTTTATTTATTTTTTAAAAAAAAACCAAAAAAAAAGAAAAAAAAAACTCACCTTTAACCGTACGTCTGCGAAGCCGATTTCAATGATTTCGACCTCACAAGTATTTCCACAAACTAGTGAAAGGTGAGGAGAGGAAAAGTAAAGGGAGGAGAGGAAAGGTAAAGGCAAGAGACAAGGTAAGTATAAGTTTTATTTATTTTTCTTAAAAAAAAAAAAAAGAAAGAGAAAAATTTTTAAAAAAACTGATTATCAAGTTATACAGAAATTACGAATTTTTATCATAATTCTATTTATGAATTTATAATTTTTTAAAATATCGGATACCTGAAATTCAATATTAATAACAATATCAGGTACCAGACAGAGAAATATTATTTATTATCTACAATATAAAAACTATAAATATTGGGCATCCAATATATATCTGATATTTTTGATTTTGATCTGTGTGCCCAATATATATTTAACAAATCGTGTACACGATATATATTATAAAAATCAGGTATCAGAATAAATATCAGTTATATTTAATACACTTATTGGAAGTATAAAAATTTTTTAAAAAAAATTAAAAAATATATTGGATACCTGATTTTTATTAGGTGACCAATAGATCCCTGGCATATTTATATTACACCTATTAGGAACATATTAGTTACCTATCAGTTACCTATCAACCATCCCGATAACTATCCAATTAGCTTCCGATATATGTCCGAAATACGGTATTACCATGGGTTTTCTCCACTTTTATAATTTCTTATTATTTTATTTTATTTTATTTGTATTTATTTTATTAGTATAGTTATTTAGTATATTTTAGTATATTTAATATTTTAATATTTATTTATTTAGTAGCGTAATACGAATAGCATGGTTAAAATTCATTTATATTGTTACACAGAGTACTTTATTTATTTATATTATCACATATCAAAAAATATATCCCCCATAAGTAACACATGATAAGGATTTACAATCAAATAAAAAAAAATATTGTTTCTTTATTATTTGAGACACAATCATTTTATTTTTGTTGTCAGATCCCAGAGATCCCTATTTTTTATAATTAAAAATAACAAAAAAACTTTTGGGTCAATGTGCTACATGTAATTTAGAAAAACCTAAAGAACGATACCAATATATTAGCAACTATGTTTTGGAAAAAGCTTTAATAAGAACTGCATATAAGATATGTTGTCCAGAAATTAAAGTCAGAACATTGCTTTGCAATAGTTGCTATTGTGCAATTGTTGAACATAATAGAAATAAGAAATATAAAAAAAAAAGAAAAATTGAACGTGACTTAGCTTATCAACCAAATAACAAAAAAAAACGAATAACTCTAAGTCTAGAAGAATATCAAAAGTTTGTTGAAGACTCAAAATCGGTTGAAGAATTAAAAATAAAAATTCAAGAAACAAAAATTCAATTGGAAATTGTAACGAAACCAATATCTGCAGGTAATAATTTTTTATTATAATATTTAATATTTATAACAAATTAATATATTTATTAATATTATAATTTTTTATAATTTTTAAATAGATAACAATACTTTTGTACAATTTTTCAATGATAAAATTCAACGTCTTGCTACAGTATTGTATAATCATCAACATCATGAAGGAAACAAACCGGTTTTAGATGTAGATGAATTTACAGATTTAATTGAAAGCCGAGATCCAAATCTTTGTGATTTTTTTAATCTTATTTTTCAATCCATGAATCTCAATACAAAAGGAAGGCAAACAAAAGAATCGTTAAAACGAAAAGTTATGCTACTTTGTTATCAAATGGCAGCATTACAAAACAAACAAGTTAGTGAAACAAAAAATGTTATTGGACTTTATATGGCTGGTACTGGTATGTCAACTGTTGGCATTAATACCCTTTCAAATATGGGTTTGAGTGTAACCTATCAAACTGTTTACAATAATAAAAAACAAATCGCAAATGTTTATGAACAAACAATTCAAGAATATATCTCAAATAATATTAGAAATTTTTATTATTTTTTGTAATTTATTTTATATTTTATTTTAATATTAAATTAATAAAATTTTAGTAACAGAAACTTTTAATTCTAAACATAGATAATTATCATGATTTACATGAATCTCGTATCCCAAGTGTAACTTCTATTAATCAAATTTCACATATGGCAACTATTTTACTTAATACAAATAATATTTCACCAATTCCATTATCATCTGCTTTTCATAATCCAAATGGTGTTGATACCAACTTACTTAAACAAGCTCTTAATTTACAATATATGACAGGATTTTCAATCAGTTACAATACACAAAAATTTAATTGGAGTTCAATAAAAGATGTTACAACATTAAATGAATTTGATCTAGTAGAAACTTTAGTTGTCCATTACTATGATGCAGATTTATCTGAAAAACATGTTCGAAGATTTGATACAACAAAACTTGTAGATTTTATACCATTAGATTTAAAAAATATGAATAATTATATAAAAGCATTAACTAAAGTATTCAGATAAATGCTTATATAATTTAATAATAATAATTATATTTATTATTTAAAATAATAATTTATGTTAAGTTTATTTGAGATGCGATTATATTTAATGAATTATATAATACCTGTTCCTGCTGACTTTTCGGGACAATTGTATATCCAAAGAGCTATTGTACAAAAACTTAAATATGGAAATCATTAAGTTTGGTTCCAATTCTTGGTTCCTTACATGTCTCACTTAATACTTGAGAAAGTTGTTTTTTAACCTTTCATCTATTTTTCAATGAGTTATATAAAAAAGTATTTGGAAAAAAAAAATTTAGTAACAAAATCAAAACCTTGACATATTAACCTTTTACTTTATTTAGCACATGCAGGTTGGAGTACTATAAAATATATTTTTGCACGATTTAAACATTCAAAAGATCTTGGATACTGTACATTTGTGAATTTATTAGATAATTTAATACCAGCTACATTAGATATTTATACTATTTTATTTCGAGAGAACAATTTTGATCAATATATTGAAACAATATTTCGATTGTGAACAGTAATGAGAAGATTTGGACGAAAAAATTATGATAAGATAATGTTTACTTTACTATCTGATGTGCAATACTGGACTTCTATTCAACATCCTATTATTAATATTCTTAGAAATAATTTATGGATGTTTGATGAATATCCAGTAGAAAATTTTCACAGTTTAGTTCGAAGATATACATCTGGAAAAGTCACATGTGGAGAATGGCTAAGGCGTGATGCAATGTTTATTGATTATCACAGAAATGATAATCAATTTCACTGGTCAAAATCTGACATATCATGTACTTATCATGCACCAATCATGGTGCCTGATAGGTACCCGATATACATCTTTTGACACATATCGGGTACCCGATAAGTGTCATCATATTCCCTAATATCGGACACTTATCGGGGACTTATCGGCCACATATCGGACACCTATTTTTTAGCTATTTTTTT